AGAGAGAGAGAGGGAGAGAGAGAGGGGGGGGGGGGGGTAACGTCCGCTTATTTCCGAAAAGAAGTCGCTGTATACAGAGACCTTGTGCCTCGACTTCAGGTGCTCAGACCTTAAAACGGTTCGTTGATCGTCTTCTTCTGTTTTCTTTTTTTCTTTTTTTGCGTCTTTATGACTTGCGAACATCAATAGCTCAATAATTGACTACGTACTACTCTAAGGGGATGCGGGTGCGGGTGGTCGTATCACTTGGAGGGGGGAGAGCTAGGGGAGAGGGCGGCACCACCCCGCGGCGGGTACCGTGAGCCCACCAGCCCAGCCCTCCCGTGTCGAGATTCTGTGTGATAGTGGCTCGTCCATATTTAATGTGACAGCTCCGGCGGTGAGGTTTGCTCCCCCGGGGAGAAGGGGGGGGGGATTGCGATAAAGATAATCGAAGGTAATAGCCGACTTGTACCGTTGTGCGGACACGGTTTTTTGGAGTTCAAGGGCAAATGACGTCACTTATACGCCTCGCCTTTTTTTTTCGACGTGCTGGGCGAGTCGCTTGCTTTCGGTGCTCGTCCCCAACGAGTGCATCATCATGACGTCCAGGTCAGGTTCAGCACTGCCGCGAATGTCGAAAAAAAGGTCTAAAGGTTTTATTTTCTTTCAGTTTCCATACGGCCCGTAGGGGTAGGCGTACATGCCCTTCTGGTTCATCCTGGCCGTCGCGACTGTGCTCTTCCACATGGGCGGGCCGAGGGGTGGTGGCAGGTCCTGGAGCCTCGGGGCGGCCTCGACGTCGACCTGGCCGACGGCGTCCTGGCCGCCCTTGATGAAGGCCGGGCGCAGCGACAGGTCCACGGGCTCCTTCTCCTTCCTGTGGGCCCGACAAAGGCGTCGTCGTGAGCAGACCGTCAACCGACCGTCACTGACCGTCAACCGACCGTCAGAACGACCGTTGAATAACGACCAACGACCTCACATGGTCCCGGACGCACCTCTCGTACTCGTTGGCGAGGTCCTCCAGGTACTCGCGGTCGGTGTGCAGCATGCACCAGGCACGCAGCGTGAAGAGGTAGATGATCTCCAGTCCGCTGAGCAGGCTGAAGCCCAGGAAGAGGCCCGCGATGGTCCCGATCGCGACCAGAAGGTCCACCTGCCCGAACAGCACCTCCCGCTTGAACCTGCATCAAATACGAAAAAAAGGGGGAGAATAATCGAAAATGGTGCACAAAACAACTACAACATCGGTATTTTTATTTATTGATCTCTTTTTAATTTTATTTTGTGTCAGTATTTTCTCACCGAGTCAGCGGCCATGACAAGAAGCCGACCTCTACACCGGCAGCCTCGCCATTGCCCTCGTCCCTGTCACATAGGTATGCGGGTAGTTCAAAATGTGCCTCTTGAGTACAAAATGAAAACAACACGCAAATCAGAAACAGTATACGCGACTATAAGGGAAAAGCGCTGCTCACCCGCCCGCCTCGTGCGGCTTCTCCATGTCGTAGACGGTGTGCTCGCAGCCCAGCTGGCACGGGCAGGTCAGGTTGAAGGTGTGTAGCTCGGCTGCGGAAGACACACAAAAGAGAGGTCGTTGTACGAAACACGACACGTTTTACTCGAGGTCGGGGCTAAGGAGAGCGCTGCTTTGAGTCAAAAACATAGTCCTCCCAGCTGTTGGACGTTGCAGAGAATTGATGAAACAATAACGTGGGGCCCATTTTGAATTTGTGTTCTCACTGGGAAAGCACAACAACCCAGTGGGAGCGATGTCTTAATATTGATTCTGTGACCTACCTAAGTGATCAATGACGCACTTCAGCTCTGGGAGACTGCAGTGTCGCTGTTTCGCTGTCAAACACAAATATACGAGTAAGTGGAACGAGGCGCATGCTGTGATAAGTATACAGATGGGCTGACTATATTCGTGTGTTACAAATCAGGCTCAGAAATATCGCAGGAGCTACGGATATGAAGAAAGATTTATTTTCGGTGAATTTTTCATTGTAAAAGTGGTCAAGTAGCGAACTCAAAATCGTCAAATATGTTATACTTAAAAGTAAAATCGAAATCCTGCTGAAAGAAAAATTGTGTAAATTTACAAAGACGCGTATTTTTATTTTTTTCGCGTCACTCACGTAGCAGGGTGTAGAAGAAGGGCAGGCAGCCGCACAGGCGCAGGATGGCGTCCATGCGGCACTGTCGCATGCACGACGAGTGCGTGTAGATGGGGTCGATCTTGAGCTTGATCTCGTCCCAGAACACACAGCCCCGCTGCGCGATCGACAGCTGCTTGGCGTCATCGACGGTGTACGTCATCTGGAAAGAAAAGGAGGAGGGCGAGGAGTCCGTGACGGCAAGGAGTACTAATTCACTAAATAAAATCGGTATCCTATAAAAAAAATAATCAGAAAAAATTGGAAAAAATCAATTGGAAAAATTACAAAAAAAAAAAAGAAAAAAAAGATTGACAAATTGGTGTACGGTCCCAGCCGAAGGGTAAGTACTTACACCGACCTTACCTTGGGGACAAACATGAGCTTGGACACGCGCTTGTTCCAAATGTGTTGGGGATTCACGTCTGCCCCGGGCAAGGCGTTGGCGGCGGTGATGAACACCTATCCACCACAGAAAAACTCGCACTGTCAACAACTGAGTCGGTTTACCGTCTGATCGAATGTAAGGAGGAGTCAGTCACTCACCGCAACGGTGTTGTTGATGGGATCTTCCGTGTCGAACGAGAAGGACCAGCGAGCGTCCGTCTCCTCGATGAGGTTCTCTATGAACGGCTTCGGCCGTTCCTTCACCCTGCACACAAGGCGGGGGGTGGGGGTCAGGTTTTACGTGTGCTGCATATTGTTGAACCCGTTTTCTTTCGACTCTTCACAGCACCCAATAATCACGAAAAACAAGGGGCTAAAACATTTTTCAATATGACGTTCCGTTTTGGTGTTGTGGACGCACCCGGGGTAGTCGAGGGCCGTGTAGTTGAGGTTGAAGGCGTGGCAGAAGCCGTGCTCCGTGTAGACGGGCCACAGCAGCGAGCAGCAGTCGCGACGGTCGTCCTCGATGGTCTGCTTGTACGCGCAGTCCGTGAACGCGGAGCACCCGCTCACCAGCTGGAAGTCATTATGAGGGACGTAGAAGCGCGGAAGTTGAAGTTCACGCGTGGGCCACCTCAACATTAGAAGCTCACGAACTTCAACCGAAGTTCCTGAACTTTAACCGAAGACGTTCACAAACTTCAACCGAAGATGTCCGCGAACTTCAACCGAAGACGTTCATAAACTTTAACCGAAGATGTCCGCGAACTTCTACCAAAAAAACTTCGCGAACGTCATTACAGTTGAAGTTTACAAACTACAACCAGAGAGGTTGACGAACTTCAACAATAATAGAAGTTCACTCGCTTCAACCATGCGCACCTGATATGAGAGCTCGCGCAGGTTGTTCTGCGGCAGGGAGGTGTCGTTCAGGTACGGCAGGAGGTTATGGAACGACTCGAAGGAGGTGTTGGTCACGGCCTTGAGGAAGCCCGTGTAGTACTCCTTCTTAGCCTCGTCGGCGTCCGGCCATTTCCTGCCACATAAGCCGATATGCTGCCTCTCATACTGCCCGTACAAAGTACACTATACTCGATATTGGACAGTAAAATTATGACAAAACGAGACATAAACCGTAATATTTCATGTGTCTCGTTTGTCCATTATCTCCGTATCGTCCAACCTTTATCGGAGACAATCTGGGTGATGTCAAAACGATCAAAGGTGAAGTTTTTTTCACACCGGCCATTTCGATATTTGTTACGGTTTCGTTCTGACATAATCTCGAGTCACACTTTGTACAGTGTTGGCATAAGCACACACTGGAAACGCAAGTGTGAGAATGTAACACACTACTTGTAGGTGTATGAACGCTATTCGTGCACATGGTGGTCCAAGTGTCTATGTGGTTTTTAAAAGAAAATTCTCATTTTTTCCCACCATAAATGGCCACATTAGCATTCACACACTTACAGGTGTGCGACATTCACACACTTACAAGTGTGCGACGTTTACACACTTCCTAGTGTTGATATACGCACTCTTTGAGGTACGCCTCGAGGAGGGTCTCGTTGGCGGGGTCCTGGAGGCAGAGGGTGACGGCTGGGAAGGGCACGTCCCAGTTGTGGAAGTCTGTGTCGAGGCCCGTGATGGTGGGGCTGGTCTGGAACTTGTCCCAGAGCGAGTCGACGATGACGAGGGCCGCCATCAGGCCTCCGGTCGTCGAGATGAACCACAGCAGGCGCTCGTGGTAGGGGCGGCCCTTCTCGGCGATGTAGCGGACGCCGTGCAGCGTGCTCGTCGCGAAGAACTGCCGGCTCTGGAAGGCCCAGTTGGCCTGCAGCAGCTTCCACTTGACGCCGCGAGGCGCGCCACCGCCCTGGCTGCGCGCGCTGGCGCCCACTGTGACCCACCGAGCTCACCGTCAAGAGCGTCCAGAAGCAGGTCAATATCGTCATATACACGTCGAGAATATTGTCATGGCCGTAAAGTCGAGGGTTAAACCAAATGGATATTCTAAAAATATTCCAAAAAATTCCTAAAATATTC